TTAACGCGAAACACAATGTTTGACTATACAGTAAGTCACCTAGTAATTAAACAAATGTTTAATCAAATGTGGCTCCGCTCCGTTAGAGTAGAAATACAAGTGCATGGAACTAGTTGGGGAAAAAAAAAGACTGTGAAATAAGGCACTGGTAACTGTCAATGTTCATTTTAAGGGCTTCAAACCTCTGTGTGCATGTCACATTTTTTCAAAGACCAGCTTTACATACACTCATCGGAATCACAGTAACCCCCCCCCAAAAAAAAAACAAAAAAACAAACAAAAACATTCGGTATTTTCGTGTTTTATCAATGACCCACATGCTAATTTGTGGTTCAGTCCCACAAACATGGCCACCTGCAGCGGATTTCCCAGATGACAACTGTCATACTAATGGAGTGCCTGCTTCTGACACATCTTTTGTGCAATTGATTCAAAAAGCCCCAATACAAGGGGTCCACAACATAATGATTTTCGCCTTGGGTTGGAACCTACAAAATGTAATTAGTAACTATGTCCCACACATACGCTAACACAGTGGTAACATTATAATCTAGGACAAAAACACATCGGACGAGTCTGACTAATGCCCGGGAGCCATAATGAAGGACAAAAGTCCCCCCGCCCCAAAAAAAAAAAAAATCAAGTAAACAAAGTGAATGTGGGGGGCGCTTTGGCCCAGAGACCAACGTCTCTGTCATTGGTGTGGAACCCCAGGGTTCACCTCCTGGGCAAGTTTGAATCCCGGTTAGGGCGGTTGGTACCTTCCAGTCGACTCACCACCTGGAGGAAGGTTCAGGGGGGTTGGTACGGTGCAGTGTGATTTGGGTGGCAGTCATGGAGACTTCTGCCCCCGTGACACGGTAAAGAATAGGTGGACAAAATGGATGGATGGAAAGTGAATGTGGCACAATCCGATGTATGGCGTACAACCGACAAACATAAAGACTTAACGCTGTATGTCAGAATGATGAAACAATACTTTTTTAATACATCATGGAGATAGCAACGTAATCACGAAACGTCGTACGTCGAGGGTGCACTAAACCGAGGACCCCCATTACATTATCTTAGGATTTCCACATATCAGTGAATGCTGCGTTTACGCTGCAGGTCTGGTTGCTCAATTCCAACGTTTGTCCTGAAATGCGATTTATTTATTTGCAAAGTTGTTCACATTAAAGTTAAAAAAACAAATTGTAACTGAAAACAGTCTCATGCTGATCCGTAAAATGTACAGCCTATCTGTACAGGTTGACGCGTACAGTATGTCTGTGTGATGTCAGACTGTGGTTTGTCTTTAGGCCTGTGGGTGTTTAGAGGTGTTAAGGGCTACAGTAGTGGAACAGTAGAATAGAAAATGAAGGAATGGGCCTGTGTGTTCAGTGTAGATGACCTTACTGTGGTAGTGGTGTTGTAGACACAATCGATTAGGGAGGGACTCTATTTCTTAGTGTTAGTATACAGCGCACCAAGCACCGGGTGTGGACTCTTCCTGACAGTTCGCCTCAGGATGGTTGTGACAGGAGAACCGTGGCCACTGTTTTCTGTGAGGGCTTATCTGCATTTTTTACTTACTTCTTATTGAGCTTTAAACCACGTGAGCATAGATGAGGCTTGAACGTTGACAAAACAAAATGTTTTTTAAGTTGTTGGTTTTTTATAAGAAAAGTAAGCATAAACTAAAGCATATATGAATATACTGTACATGGAGAATTATGGCCATGATGTCCTTGAGCAATAGTATATAATATAACCTGGATGGTATCTATAGTTTTACTCGTGTATTTATGCGAAAGATGCAGACGAATATTGTCTTCTGCAAATGTAATTATTCAGAACCGGAATAACCTCTGATTGTCGGAGAACCTTTTGGGTGGTGAAAAGTTTTAATAAAGTTTAAAGGAAGTAGGAAGAGAAGAATCAACAGTATTTTACGACTAAGGTGACAAGAACTGTTTGTGTGCGTGTGTGTACTGTGTTTGTTTTAAGTCCTATCTTTGGTGTAAAATCACTAAGAATGTTTAATATTAACTTTTTGTCAATATCCAATATGCCAAAATTGTCCAAATTAGGGGTGTCCGATATTAACTTCTTTCCGATATCCGATCGGCCAATATTTTCCAAACACTTAATTTGCGATATCAACCAATACTGATATAGGCCTGGTAATATTTATTTATTTATCTGTAGAAAAAAAACACTTGTTGCTTCTGTTGCTGCCACCAGCATTCTGCATACAATCTCCTGATTATCTAAACAGATTAATAAAATGAGATGCAATGCTGCCATCTAGTGACTTTCACTTTAATATACAGCCGTTTATCCCCAAAACCATTTTTAGAGCCCAGATCATTTGGCAAAATCTAGGCATTGCGTTATCGCATTTTCATTCTGGGAGGAAAAAACTAAAATTCCTTAATACACTATCATGCTAATATCGGCCAATAATACTGGTCGACCGATATTATCAGACATCCGTAGACCAACAACTTAATATCTGTAATCATCCAATACCAATATAGCAAGGCTGTGGTGGTCTGGTAGTTAATGAGGCGGACTTGTGTCTAGAAGGTTGTAAGTGCGAATCCGTCCCCAAACACTGCTCCCGGGCTCTCACTTGAGCCTCCGCCTGCTCACTAAGTTGATGGGTTAAAGGCAGAGGACACAGTTCATTGTGTACAGTGGTGTGCTACTTATCATATGCAACCATATGCAAACCGATAAAGATTCTTACAGATATTGCACAGTGATGCTAATATCGGGCAGATCAGTCGGCCGATATTATTGGACATCCCTAATATCCCTGCCTCTGTTTGTTCCGTCTACTGTGGGGCCTTCAGGGTTCACTTAAATCGTTTCTTTGTCAATCACAGGTCGTTACTCTTCCATCAATCCCTGTGGTTACCTGAGTCCATGCTCATGTTTGTGAAAGTGAAAACCACCATTGACTGACTTTACTGCTTCTGATCCAATTTCCCCATAGTCAGCACTAAATGTAACAACATGCGTCCATTCATTAGGTTGGCATCACAAGACTTGGCAATTGAGCTCGTTCATATTGATGGGACTTAAATGATCCAACTGTACTTCAGGTGCACAGTCCGATGATGACACACACACACACACATACACAAACATACACACACACACACATCTCTCCCAGGGGGACTCCCCTTTATTTTCATCCTCCAAGTCAGGGCCCTCCCTGCTTACTGAGCAAATTACAACTGCAGAGAGGGTCATCCTCGGATGTGAAGGACTCCGAGATGAAAAGAAAAGAGAGAGAGAGAGAGCATGTGTGTGTGTGTATGACAGCGTGAGAGAGAGAAACTTATGGCATTTACTTAAGTGTAGCAAACTAGTTTCTGTAAAAACGTCCTTTGAAGTTCCACTTCCTTGTTGCCATCTCATATTTGCAACTTCCCTTTAACCTGAAGGCTGTTTACTGTACACTTGCGTGTGTGTGTGTGTGTGTGTGTGTGTGTATCACACAGTCGCACAGTTGCACGAAACATCAACTTGCTGTGTGAGTCACTGTAATGGCAAATGAACTGTGGCTGAATGTCAGTCCATGTCAGTCACATGTATTGAATGACGAGAGAGAGACAAGCATAAAGAGAGAGAGAGAGAGAGAGAGAGCAGAGCATATTTCAGGGGCAGAATCAATAAGCAAGAGTCCTTGGGCAGTAAGCAATAAACTTCATTAACAAGGTTGAGCCACATTATCTGGGATGGTTTAAAAAGAAACAGGAAAAAAAAATATTGATACAAATATTACAGAAAAATGTTAATGTTATTAAAGCGTGTATTTTTGTAACGCTTTCCCCTTCTTTTTTTTGTGTGAACTATTTTTGCCATTTAAGGGTGTGCGTACGTGTGTGGGCAAGTGTTACTTTGAGGTGGAGTCCCTTCACCACATCTGCAATGCAGCAGAATTCTCAAAAAAGAGAGAGAGAGAGAGAGAGAGAAGAAGCTTATGTGCCCCGACTCAAAAGTGACGCCGTCCTCTGTGGGGTTTTCTCACTCCCTCTTTTTCTTTCATCAGTTTTTGTCCAAACTCTTTCAGAAAATCATGTGAGTTTTATTCTGTATTTTATTTTTCATCTGAACACAATTCCACAATTTTAAGCCCTGACGCCCGACTGTCACGTAGCGTGTTGAGAAATAACCAGGAAGATGGGGTCTGACATAAATGTGGCTGTGGTCCTAAAGGCACGCCCACCATCCCTAGAGGCATCTGCATTGCACACAGCGCCATGCACCAAGCCCACACAGATGTGTCTAGATGGGGTGACCTTTCCATGCAGATCATGTAGGGACTTCACCTCCTGCAAGCTAATGCACCACCAGAGCTCTGCTGGTGACTTGACACTGTAAACTATGCTTAAACAATGCATTTACTTACTGTACGTCCTTTTCAAGTGTACTTTATTTAACAAAATATGGACTGTGTTTGGGTTGAAGTACTGTGATGTGTAATGAAATGATATGAAGAAATCTAATCAATGGTTCTCATTATGATGCCCCCCCCCCTCCTATTTTTTGAAAATCATCATTAGTCCGTTTGTTTGCTGTTGGAAAATCATATCCCTGTTTACGTTTGCTGTCATGCGGTGTGAAAAAAAAAAGAAAAAAAAAAGGAAAGGACTAATGGGCGTGACACTTTTTCTTCATGATCCCCAGAACTCATCTGACCGTCTGACCTCCGAGCTTTGATTTATTTAAAGGATTTTAATTAGCTGAGCCGCAGCCGTGTGGACTGCTCATTTTATCACCTGTCTCTCACCCAAACACACACACACAGACTCACCTTCTACCTGTGTGCGCGTGTGAATCTGTGATCCTTCGTTGATGTTTTTTTTTTTCTTTTGGACTTTTTATTCGCTTTTTACTGCATGGACGATTCAACGTATCGGAAAAGATTTTAAAGGAAAACCCCCATAATCGTCTTTCCTTTCCTCTTGGTCTTCCAAATACAAAGAGTGCTTCAGTCTTCCAGCTATCAAAGCCACAATGACACTATTTTTATATTCAAATGGGGCAAAAAATATATCTATACATAAATATATATAAATGTATCCATGCAAATATACCTGGGGTGCAATATCTCCCTCTGTTGTTAGCAAGGTGGAACAACACAACAACCAATCGCCAATCAAATCTCAACGGGTCGCAGGAGAATGGAGCGGAGAGCGACTGCAGAGCAGTTTGAAACTCCTGGGTTGGGTCACAGGACAAAGGATCAGTGGAGTTACTAGCATGCATGCACCAATCATTTACTGGACACTTGCAGAGAAAACAGTCTTTACCTAATATTTACTCTCTAACCCCTCAACCCAGTCCCCTACCCTGTATTATCCCCAAATCTTGTCTATTTATTTCTATAATAACTTACACAAAGTCAACAGAGGCGTATTATTGGATATAATTGAATAAATCAAACTAATATATTTGTATGATTGTACTGCACTGGTCTCCGGAGAGTTTTATTCCGCCCTACGTCACAATCACACTTGTGAGTAGCAAAGCTGTTTTGGGAAAAAAAAAGTGCACGATTGAGGCTGAACGTTCAACACCGGTGCACACTGATTTATGAAAGAGTAAGTGTGCAGAGATCATCGTGCATCTGTTACAACTGTGCATCCACGGAGTGGTAGTCAAAATGAGATAGCTGTCGTAACCCACACATAAACTTGGGCCGGTATTGAGAGACTTGTCAGAGTTTATGACTGTCATAACTCAGAGAGGCTCATCCAGCAGAGTATTATTTACATCACGACACCTTTTAATAAACTTTTTCACCTCTTTTAAGACTGCCTGAATGTTTTAGATGTAGATCATGTCAACTTTCTATAAGAAATTATATTTGAAAAAAGAAAAAATCAATAGTGACTGTTGAAAATTATTTGTGATTAAAAAAACACCAAACAAACAAACATTTAAATCTGATTTTGAAAATTGAATATGAATATCTAATGGTGCCATAGTTATAAATTTAGTCTTTTTTTTTCTTTTCTTTCTTTTCAAACTTACATGAGAAATAGTCACAGAGATTTTCTGACAGTCAGATAAATCCAATTTTAGCTTAGCCATGAAACTTTTTTTTAGATCGAAAACTCAATTGCGAAAAGCCAGATCCATTAGGGAATGATTTTCTGTTTACGATTCCCTGTCAGATGAATGCTGACTGGGAACCGGGGCTTTATTGTTCAACTTTAACTACTCCTGGCTGGATGGGAACAATTCCAAGCATCATTTGCGGAAGCTGCCACATAATGATGGCCAGTCTATTGTCACAACAGTCTTAAGTATGCTTTAATGTCTAGTTACCATTACAGTTAAAAACAACTTTAAAAATCGAATAGGACTAATTAATATCTGGCCGATTCTCAGTCTTTAAAATCAGATCAAATCGATAATTTTATTTTACTAGAAATTAAAATTGGAACTTGGACCTTCTTCCCATTGTGAAATGTAAGTATTACAGCTTGTAATACGTTGGCTATACATACGTGTCATATTCAACAATAATTGATTACAGTTGCTTCAAGACAGCTCACTGAATAGAAGGAGACAGTGCCAACAGAAGCTTTATACACTCCCTCCTGACTGTGATGTGTGGCCTGACACTGGCTGTTAGCCTTTAATAGTTAGCTCCTATGGTAATTAAATTGGCGACAGGCCAAAAGTCAGTGACAGTGGATCATAAATTACACTGGTGTGAACGCTCACTGCATGTGTGTGTTGGAGACAGTAAAGAAAGAGAGAAAGGGAAGGGAGGTGAGGAGGGTGGGTGGGTACAAAGAGGATGATTGAGCTGTTTGAAGACATTAGCTGCGGCTAAACAACAGTCACTTGCAATTTACACTAGCTTAGCGTTAAACTGTCAGAGAGGCCGTTTCTCTGTTTCTTTTGTCCACGTCTGCTTTTTGAAGATGGTATTTTTGGGGGGGGATTTGGAGAAAATCCTACACAGCAATATCACAAATGAAGCACATATAATGAAGTACCTCGAGTATTTCCTGTGTGTGTTCAGTCAGACAGTTTGACTACTGTGCGTTTTTTTTCTGTCCACACTTAAGCCACCGCTTCATATAGTTTCACAGTAGCAGACCAATTACAAAATACTATTTTTTCTTTTTTAACTAACTTAACAAAGCAGTTTCTGATCAACAGTCACCACGATCCTGTGGACCAAACCTTTGCCATTTTGATTGACACTTAAAGATCTAGGATTCAAATCACAGCTGGGTAATCGGCTTGAGGTATGTTATCCAAACAAACCAGTTTGACCAAATCTGTTTGATTTGATTTAAATAGTTTATAAAATGTCAATGTAATATTTGATTTGCTCTTTTTCTTATTAACCCACCTTGAAAGTACACACAAAACCTCAGAGCAGTAGCGCTGTACGGGAGACGGGGGGGGCTCTGGAGGGTTGTACGGGGTATCAGTCTTGCATCAAATAGTGCATATATACATATCTACATGATATATAGAAATATATTCATGTGTTACATGAGTGTTACATGGGGGGGGGGCATTGTCATATCTTTCTATGCCACTGGCTCAGAGAAACAGAGGACAAGGGGGTAAATAGTGACACGCATACACACACACACACACACACACACACACACACACACACACCCCTCCTCTGTGGGGGTAATTGGAGGAGACAGCAGTTGGCCTGGCCGGCCTGACTGACAGACAACAACAGTCCAACTGACTAAACCCAAACCCACGCTGAAGACTTTCAGGACGAAAAGAAAGAAGAGAAAGAGTCATAACAAGAAGTTGGTGGAGCACACGGACACATATTTCTTGGATAAGAGACAATGACAAGTCGAGATCTACTCTTGCTGACATGTTTCCTATGCACCCTGAGCACACTTGGAGGTAAGCGACCAGTTGACACAACATACCCATATCCTATTATAGAGCTATAGTAGTCATGTAATACTTCGCCGGGATTTAGTGCACATTCACGTCATGCACATGTACAGACCTCCAGCAGAAACTGTTCAACAAAACCGCAGTTTTCAGCCTGAAAACATCCAGAAATACTTCTAAAATATAAAATGTAGCGACTTCTACATTGTGGTTAAACTATACAGCTGTAAAGAAGTAAGTTCTACTTGAGTTGATCCTGAAATTCACTACAATACTTGGTAGTGTAGTGTGGAACTGTCTGTAATAACGTCATCTAAATGTACTTGCATATATGTATATTTCATCAGGAGCTAAAGCTTGTGAAAAAGCTTAAACAAAAATCAATAAAATATTACCCTATAGAACTGTCTATAAAGACTTTGATTCATACAGACATCAAGTTTTATGCACATGTATTGCATCTATATCGGCATATGCATACTTCAAGGCTAACGTTACAGTAGCTTAACTTTAAAACAAGTTCTTTAACAAAAAAAAAAACAATATAGCAGTTATTGCTACAACCAAATTACTAGAATACATTTTATGAATCTATTTGTGGGGGATTACCAATATTAACATTTATATTTTAGTAAAATAAAATAGACTTTATACAAAAGCAAGCAATGTGGCTTCAGTGAACCATAGCTGCTAACATTAGCCTTTAAGTTAAGGGACTATATCAGGGGTCACCGACTATATTTGTTGAAGGCTCAGATTTTTTTCATTGACAGACACCTTTGGGGCCGTACACTCAAATGTTAAGAAATAAAAATCACATTTTTGTCCAACAGTATTATTTGACGTTTTGGAATCCAGTTGTGTGCCAGATCAGACGGTTCGGTGGGCCAGATTTTGGCCACATACACAGAAAGACAGCCAACTTCATTAATTTCCATGTAACTCCTCGACAGAAAGACAGCCAACTTCATTAATTTTTAATTTTTTTGTAACTCCTCGAATTGCATATACAGTACAGTGCTTCCCTCTGTGGCAAAAACAAAGGAATATCACCATCACATACTCCTTTAACTGGAGCCTGGTACACAGATTAGTCCTTTAACTGGAGCCTGGTACACAGATTACTCAGTGTAAACAATGAAATTTTAACTCCAGGACCATCATAAATATTTCATTAGTTATGAGGGATGGATGGATGGATGGATGGATGGATGGATGGATTGGTGTGGATGCAGAGATGGATGGTATAAATGACTGATGGGTGGATGTATGAATGGATGGATGGATGGATGGATGTAGACTATCACCTTGCCAGGTTTTGCCATTGCCATAATATATTACGGTAAGATAGGGACCTGTCAGTCAGCTACTAGAACAAACATTAATGTCAGCTGCTGATGTCAGAATTACTCTAGAAATTAAGGGTGCTTATTTTATGACCAAACCAAAAGAGAAAAAGAAATGACTATGGTTTTCAGGCAGCTAAGATCACATACAGTAAATGTGCTCTCAGGGTGACAGCAAAAGGCACTGCCTAAAACAATACAAATTCCCTTGTACACCACTAGCTTTCATCAAACTCTGATCACTGCAGTAATGTGCTCAAATTTGACCCATTTACCTAGTCATCTGAACCAGCCAGGAAGATGAAAATGCTAATTTTTCCAGACTTCACATCCACCCCCCCCTCTCTGACACACCAACAGCCGTGCATCCTTGTGCCGAGCTAATGGGGTTGCCTCGCTGGGTGATCGTTGTCATTTATTCCTGTCAGGTCAGATCCTGCTGGGGCCAGAGCTGTGCCAAACGTGATGAATGCTGCGTCACCAGAGCTGCTGATTATTAATGCCTCTAACCTTCCAATGCAGAGGAGAAAATGGTGGGAAATAAAGCAGGAATTATGTCTAAAATTGGTTGAAGGCTGGTAGTTTGCTTACAAACAATTAGACAGAAGGACTCTGTCCTCTCACAAAGGATGAGTGTTAGACAGAAAACTGTCCGTAAACTATTTTCACTAATATCCAAAAAAATAAATAAATAAATAAAAGGCTTGCTTTGACAAGTCAGGCATATACTGCACGTGCTAATGCTCGCTTGCAATTTTTTAATTAAGATATATTATGTTGCATGTTTTTCATATTATAGTTATATGATCACCATCAGATTTCAGTGTGAACAATCTAGAGCAGGGGCGTCAAACATACGGCCCGCGGGCCAAAACTGGTCTGCTAGGGTGTTAATTTCGGCCCACTTGACACATTTTTAAGTGGAAGAAAAATGCACAAACAGGGAATAAACATGTACTTATTGTTGTTTAAGGTAATTATGTTAAGATTGTACTGGTCCATCCCACTCCACAGCTATTTAGGCCATATGTGGCCCCTGAACCAAAATAAGTTTGACACCTGTGATCTAGAGTGTGAACGTTCCCGTTGCACACAGTAAGCTGTACTCATCCATAGTAATTTGATCAGTTTGTGATCAATCAGAGACAGATGGACACTATGATAATCACTACTTTTGCTGTAAGTTTTGTCTATTGCTGACTTGTCCCTTCTCAGATAAAATGTGATTTACCTTTTCACACAGAGGATGCTTTAAAACATTAGAAACATATCAGGTTTTGTAACACATTTGAAAATTGGCTGGGCTTAAATAAAAAGAAATCAGGTTTTTCAGCTCATAAAGTTGACTTATTCAGTTATTCATTTCACTTTTTGTTGTGGGTACTAATTACATATTACAGTAATGTCTGACTGCATATCCTTCTATTATATATATGTTAAAAAAAAACATTAAATATGTGTGTTTAGAACGTGTAGATGTGTTGATCATTCCTGCGTTTTCTGGATCATTTTTTAAGGTGGAAGTTTTTAGTGTTTGCTTTTAACATGTAGATTCACATGACTTGTTCACATGGCTCTGCTCGAGGTATGTTATCCAAACAAATCAGTTTGACCAAATTTGTGTGATTTAAATTGTTTAAATATTTTCAATTTAATATTTGACGTCTCAGGTAAAGCTGGGGGCTTCATCAGAAAAGTAAATACATCAATGTCCTCCTCATTTGTGCTATAGTGAAGAAAACTGCACTGCTTTGTAATTTTATTTCCTTTGTTAAATGAGAACAGCTTTTTAATTCAGTTGGTGTATTAAATAAAGTCCAGTGGTTTTTGAAGTTATAACTGTAAATAAAAAGTTTTAGGAACTATTAAGTAAACCCATTATTTAATTATTCAAACCTGTGGTCTATTCAAGGTGCCAAATCCAAATTTTCACACTGATAGAGGAAACCAATGTACCAAGAGAAAACACAAAACCAAACATGAAAACTACACACACACACACACAGAAGTCACCTTCTGTCTCGGCTAGGATGTAGACTGCTGTTCTACCTGCGGTTGGACAAAAGCACAGCTAGTTTCCTTCCCCTGAGAATAAATGGTTAGAACACACCAGCAGAGGATGAGGAACACGGTGAATACAATCAGTATATCATTTGAACATCTGACACTTTTTCTCAATATGTGCCTCAGGTGCCACAGAAATGGAGAATACTCTGATGAAGAAGATTTTCCAGAAATACAACCTGAAGGTCAGACCAGCACCCACCCCTCAGGACAGGGTCGTGGTCCGTGTGGGTATGATCCTGTCATCTTTTGTCGGACTGGTGAGTATCGGAAAACAACTGTTATTTACAGTTTACAAACTGAAATGTGTGAATAAATGATTCTAGTTATCATGAGATCTTTTAAAACTGAATGGGATATAAATGAGAGATATACTGTAAGTTTATACTGCAATGTCGTTGGTCAATGAAAATCAGAGAATTTTCTTAGGGGGGTTCTGTTGACTTTCTTTGTAGCTTTTTTAATTAAAAAATTATATTTAATAATAGAGTTAGACAATTTGAATCTAAATCTTCAATACAGACTAGTGGAGCAGTGTGATAACAGGTGAATTAGGTGAATCCAAATGATTAATAAATAGGGATGTATGTATACCAGTATTGGTAACAGTATCCATACTGATACTTAATTCAAATACTCTTTCGGAAACATCACAACAAAAGAAATCGGCAGTGTTTCCCTTTTCTCCTGGTTTCTGCAGTGACTCCCATTCGTAGATAAGACTACAAAAAACATTAGTATACGCTCCCCCAACTATAACTCCAGGTCCACTGGATAAGGGACACCCCTTACTTTGAGAAACACCTATGACATGGCCACTTTTTTATTTTTTATTTTTTAAACCTTAGTTTAAAAAAAAGTCACTGAGTAACCTAACTAATCAATTTTGATTACAAATTTGTGCTTGAAAAATCCAGAGCCTCTCTCACACACAGATACTGTATGTCTGTTTGTATGTTTATCACCAGACTTCTACTACCGCTGCTTCCCCTGAGGCACATTCAACAGTTCTGCATGACAGTACCTGTATATGTTTCTTTTTTTTAATAAAAACTGTGAGCATATCTGAGAAAGCATCTGGCTTATAGTTTAGTGCTTTACGCCCCGCTGAGTCTAATGACACAAAGAGTCATGATCCTTATGCGCGCAGCTGTACTTCCATTAGTTCATACTGGGGAATTGTACCAGCTGTCGACAACCAAAGGATGAAAGTATACTGACAGAAACATGCGCCGCAAAACTTCAACCTCAACTTTCACTGATGGCGGAAAAGAAAAATAATAACGGGCATATAAAAAAAAGGCTAGCAACATGTTGTCCATGATAAATCCCTTAAACTCTCAGCTGTTGGGCCAAAGACTTGTACTTGTTGTACCCACACTTAGCCTATGGGTCACACACACACACATACACAAACACAGCTACAGTATGAACGCTCTGTTCAAGGTCAGTCACACTCCAGTGAGGAAGTCACGTGGGTCTCTAAGTTATTTGCAACGATGATCTTGAAAACTGATCTACTTGGATGCACCGTCCTTTTCACAGGAAGTAAGTAAAAGGTCAGTGATTAGATGAGCATTTGTTTTTTGTCTCTCTCATACTCGCAGACATATTTTTACGTGAGAGACAGAGAGGGTCCGAGTTAATTGCACCAGCCCTACTCCCCCACACTCCCTTTGCTTCAATCCCAGCTGTCTCTGTGAACATTCCTCAGTGTTTTAAATAGCAGCTCCGCAGCTGGGAAACACCAAGACAGTTTCAGATGGATGTACGTTCAAAGCCCGACTAGCAGCTAGCTTTGTCAGCCATCAGCTGTTTCACCTGGATTCGTGTCTTGATTTTCTGCCTTGTACGCTGTGATGTGAGAATCTACGGGCAGCTCTAAAAATGTTTCCATTCAGTTGCTTCTGTTCCAGAGAAGTCGAATAAGAACACCTAACCTCCTGTATCAATGTACTTACAGAACATGAAGAATGAAGAAATGAGCACTGTTGTAGTTATGAATCTGGTGAGTTCATATTATCACACACTTTTTACAACATCTCTTTAGAGCTGCAAAGTGAATATGATTTCCCCAATGCATGATGGGGAAAATGCGGTCATACAGAGCTACTGTACAACCAAACACTATTCAGGGGGTCCTCAAAACTATTTCTCAGCGGCCTTGTGATCGTCAAAAATCCAGGTGGTAAATAAAATTTGATGAACCCACTTTTTCACATGAATAACTTTTTAATCTAATGTTTCATGTTCAGGCATAAACAACCAAAATGGAAATGTTCTAGGACAGATATGGACAAACCACGACCTCGGGGCCGGAGACGTCCAAATTATGTCAATAATTTATATTATAATTACCTTTCAGCCTTTTCCCTGCAATGCCCACATTTCCCCAATAGATGTCGTGGAAAAGGCTCAAAGCATTTTAGCCCCTGTCAAATTTTAGGACCCATTGCCAACACCTGCTCTAGCAACTTACAAGATAAATGTAAGAACAGCTGATATAGGAGCTCCTCACTATGAATCCCTCCACAGTTAGTTGGGAACTTCAGTTACCACCATGACTCCAGTCTCTCTAGAACTTTTTACCAGTGACACCTTCAGCCCACAAGGTGCCATGCCATGGGTGTAGCGTGGCTTGGGAGACAGTTTTCTTCCATAGCTGAGCATGTTCATGTTGAGATACACAAAAACTTGTGTACCGGTTGACTTTTAGTTGCTGTCATGAATAGTAGCACTCTTTTCTCCCATCCTCTAAGTGTCAAGTGCATCTAAAATACCAAAGCCTCTTTAAAAAAAAAACTTAATTTTTTTTAGTGTCAAGTGCATCTAAAATACCAAAGTCTCTTTAAGCATTAAAAAAAAAAAACTCATTTTTTTTTTAAATTCATGACATAAAATATGATATATCGGACCATCTGGCTGGCTCTGTGGTCTACAGGTGGCCCAAGCTCCAGACTTTGAGAATCCCTATGTCACGTCTAATCCATGTTAAGCTCATTGTCTTCTTTTGTAAATATGAACGCGTGTCATATATTTTATTTTTGTTTCATACAGGAATGGACAGATTATCGTTTGTCATGGAAACCTAAGGAGTACGACGGGATTGAGGTGTTACGTATTCCCTCTGGGAAGATTTGGTTGCCAGACATAGTCCTCATCAATAAGTAAGACCTCATCAGGACAGAAGTATATAAAATAGGTACACAAAGGATTAATAGCAAAACAAACCCAAATTGCAAGTAATACTTAAGTATAAGTATAGTATAAGTGCCGTGTAAAGTGGAGATCCATCTCCTGGATCATTTTGCATGCAGGAGGCCTTAGCCATTCATAAGAGCTTGTCTTGCATGAGACTGTAATGCTGCCGTAATTCAGGCTAAAATACGTTTTCCAGGACAACTATAAACAAATCACCTTCATAGGAAACCCAATGTGTAGGTCTTGATTAATAACTGAAATAATACTACTACTAATAATAATATAAAATAAGTACTGTATTGAGTCACAGTTGTTGCCGATCTCAAACACTGTAGACCTGCACTGCTACTGGTTACGTGGTTACGTCTCACCTTTTCTCATTGGGAAAATTACCTAGATCCTGTGGCTTACACTTCCACTCAAGGTCACCATCAGTTCTTAAAAGTATTTATTGTTATGGTTGTAAGAGGATGTGATGTCAAAGACAAGTCTGCACTCCACTGTAAAAACTGCATTAAAGCTTTCAACGCCCCATCGCCCCCAAGATCAACTGGTCATGACTACGTCTGCACTTTTCCACCGCTACTCCAGCACTTTACATGCTGGTGTGACAGGGCACGGGGAGGGTCAGCATCTCTTGCTGTTCAGTGTTTCATTTACACACTTGTATGTCCGTTTTACTTTAAAGGGTAAGTGACTAGACTTTGTCAGGGTTGTGTTACACATATTTATGTCATCAGTAGTATCTGCTACTCTTGAAGTAGTCAGTTGAACAACTACAGTAAATAGATGGTTCAAAATCTGCCAAAAACACGCTTCTTGCAATGGATATCTCCACCTAACACTGTGTGAGTATCGGATATTTGCTTGACTCGTACGCGACTGCTGGACCACTGTCACGTACGACCCAAATGTACAGTTGATAATCTAGGACAGTGATACACTGGACCACTGTCACGTACGACCCAAATGCTAAGTACAGTTGATAATCTAGGACAGTGAAACATTACACTGAGCTGTTTTATGTAAACAATTGAGGCAGTAGAAATAGGTTGACATCTGTGGAGAAGAGCAGTGAGGCTGTGCAGCTTTCATTAGTCTAGGCCAGTCGTGCTATACTCATTTTGGTTCATGGGCCACATATAACTTGATAAGATGTCAAATAAAATTATAACATAATTACCTACTAATAACATTAAGTGCATGTTTTTCTTTGTTTTCATGTAAATAAATACATAGTAGTTTATTTAAAAAAATCTTCATATTTAATTAAATTAATCTCAAACCACAAGAACAAATGAACTGTTTATGAATTTCTTTTTTCATTTTCAAAATTCAACAAGCTGGCCAGGTTGAACCCCCTAGCAGACCATAATTTGGCCCGTGGGCCGTATGTTTGACACCCCTGGTCTAGGCACAGCCAATTCGCGTTTGCAGTTCAAGCCGTTTTTATTTCAACAGGTAAAATAAGAAATATACTAGAGTAAAAAAAAGAGGGTTAAAACGTAGCTATAGATACCACAGCATTTGATGTAATGACAATGTTCAGCTACTGTACATACAATTCAGAAGCCTATACTCAGTAGCATACAAACAGACAACAACTTCACATAAATGTAGAATCATTTCCTGTCATTTAATCGGCAGCACATACCCAGGATTTAAGTAGAGCCGACGTGTAAAATGCAGGTGTCAAAACTGTTTGTGCAGAGCTGTTAGATCCCAGCACAGCACCTGACAGATGACTCAATCTGTGTCTAATTGACTTGATGTCGTTTTTGTGTACAGCGCTGTGAGCCCAAATGACTCTTTTTTGCACCCGGCTCCGATGCTGCACTTAGAACTGTCATGTGAAATGTATAGAGCCCCTCCATTTCATCTATGTCAATTAAAATGTTTTAGTGCTGTACTGCAGAACAGGCTTGCCGCCAAACGTTGATGTAGTCGTCGGCCGTAGTAAGAGAGCAGTAAGAGCAAAATGCAAGTGCAATAATCATGCATACGAGACGTGCATAATGAGATGCTGTTCGCTCTGACCACAGATGTACCCTGTCTGTCGTCTTCTGTGCACAACAAAGACAAGAGGAAGGTTGAGTAAGAGTGCAACAACCTGGGAGGATGCAGCGTCATCACAAAATATTTACAAATTAATGTAGGTCTTGTGTACAGTGGACAGTGGACGGCCGAATATCCTCAGTAGTTTTTCGCTGAAGCTGATGTGCATTTTATATTTAAGTATATTTAATTTGATAAATGAAATATAAATGTCCATCAAAGAAGTCAGGCTATAATCGGTGAAGAACCAGAAAAATGATCACGAAAAATTTAGTTGTGATCATTTATTGTGATGTGATACAATTACAGCACAAAGAGAAAAAAAAATCCATTGCAATCTGTTTCATCTCCGTCCATATAAATACAGGAAACTATAGGCAAAACCTCCAATATGCCTGCAAATGGACATTATTGCAACCACATGATATAATACATCATCTTAATCTCTGCAGTAACGATGGCGTGTTTGACGTGGCCCTACATGTCCACGTCCAGGTGTACAGTAATGGGAAAGTCACCTGGACTCCCCCTGCACAGTACTGCAGTTCCTGTGGTGTACAGGTATTGCAACATGCAAAGTTACACATGAACACATCTCTTGGTATACGTTTACTCCTGTTCTTCTTTATATATATATTTGAATATCTCTGTATAGGTGGCATATTTCCCTTTCGACTGGCAGAACTGCAGCATGAAGTTCCGCTCTTACACTTACGACTCAACGGAGATCGACCTCCAGCATGCACTGGACTCCAGGGGCAAGGAAATACGGGAGATTATAATAGACGAATCTTACAGCGGTGAGGACGATCTTTACATTCAGGCTCCTCAGCCTACGGTAGGTCGTTAACGAGAGCATCGCCATGTTTTCATCCCTGACTGTGAATGTTTCTGCAGAGGGTGGCGAGTGGATCATCAAACACAAGGCCAGCAGAAAGGTCGTCAGTGAGGACAATTATGAGGACATGGTTTTCTTCCTAGTGATTGAAAGAAAACCTCTCTACTACGTCCTGAACATCATCCTCCCCTGTATCCTCATCACCATCATTGCAATCTTCAACTTTTACCTCCCACCCGATGCAGGTAAGCAAATAAAAAAATGGCCACTGTGATAATGTACACAACAATGCACATACAGTACCTACACAGACTTACTATGCGTACGCTTATCATATAAAACAGGGGTCACCAACTATATTTGTCGGAGGGCCAGACACCCCCAAAAAAAAATCAATATAATCACATTTTTGTATTACATTATTATTTCATTATTATTTATTTTGGAATCCAGTTGCTGGCCATATTGGATGGGTCAGTGGGCCGGATTTGGCCAGTGGATGATATTGATAGATATTGAATAAGTTAGTCAGTGAAATAATGTATTATTTTTTTTTAATCTTATTGGATTATTATATATACCTTTTAAAAATAATATAAAAATGGAAATTGTGAATTTTAATACATACTGCTTTATTAAAAGAATAATAATTACCAGGTTCAGTATCATAGATTGCAGGTGGAAACAACGCCACACTACTGCAAGTAACCTTGAATGTGTCCCTTTTTGAAAAGATTAATGACTTATAGTAATTAATGTTCAGATGTGGACAGAGAACTAATGCATATTAATGCTACTTAAGCGAATTATCCCAAGAAGATTTAAAGGCCCTAATACTGCAGTATGGTACAAATCTGAGGTTTTAATATTTTACTGTATTTACTATATGTATCTGGCTGTATTTTAAATATCTAATAGTCAAAAAGAAATATTTACTTAAGAAATTTGTGTAGAGAAAATCAGACTATACCCTTTTAGCTGTAAATAGCACAATTCCTACTCCGAAGCGCTAACAGCAACGCTAACAGATTTGAGTTTCATGGTTGGCCCGCTCCATATTTTTTCCTCAGAGAGCGTTGTGAAAGCTGAGGTGCGTCTGTCCTTGAGCTCAGGTTTTTTAGCGACAATCATTAGCATGTAGAGCAGAGCATGTGTGTGTGTGTCTCCAATTTCCTGTCCAAGCCCTGTGCTTTTTTCATCGTTCATCTTTTGTAAATTCGACTTGTAGGACATCTCAAGGTTTCCATTCTTGCACATTCTGCAGACATGTCTGCATAACCATAACGTCAAAAAAACATTTTGGCGTGTGATCAAAAAATGTTATGCGCAACATTATATTGGATTAATGTGTTAGGGAACCGAACCTGGATGTTGAATCATCTGCTTAGCTGCATCAGTTTTGTTGCAGTCTTGCAATGATGGGCAGCAGCAGGTGTCACTCAGATTTTCAGCAATCCTTGTGTTAAATAGAATTAAAACGGTGGTTATGTATATAGGTACAAAGGTTTTTTTCAGTCTTATGTCATCAGACCTTGGACCTCAAAATGCAGTGAATGCTAATTGCATTTATTTTTCATTTGTTTGATGCTATCAGGTGAAAAAATGGGTCTGTCCATCAACGTGCTGCTAACCTTGACTGTCTTCTTGCTACTGCTGGCTGACAAGATTCCAGAAACTTCCCTGGGCGTCCCTATAATTGTCAACTACATCATGTTCACTATGATCCTGGTCACGTTCTCTGTCATCCTCAGCGTGGTTGTGCTCAACCTGCATCACCGCTCCCCCAACACTCACATGATGCCCATGTGGGTCCGCAAAGTAAGATGAAGAAAAAAAAAAAAAAATCACTTGACTGAAATGTTTATGTGTGTCTGAGGCTCTAGTGATATGCAGAATTGATTTACAATTTATTTTATATACTTTATTAAGAATCAAATCCAGATGGTGGTCATTCTTACTGCAGAAAATAACAGGGGTAGGACAATTTGTTTTTAATATAATTTCATGAACAAAATTGGTTTTCTCTAAATTTGTAATGTTAATCTCTACATATTTGAAATGTTTATGTGTAACAAAGTGCAGTACCATGTTTTCAACACTCATTCACCATGTAACATTTAGAGGGGCACTGTTTTTACGTCATAAAACACTCAAAGAGAGAGAGAGAGGGAGAGGGAGAGAGAGAGGAGGAGACAACAGTGTTTTCATTCAAAGATGGTTATACTCTCTCTCTCTCTAGGTAACCGTCACTCTACAGAGTATATTTCCTTATTTGTAGAATTCTGGTAAGGTTGTTTTTCACACCAGAACACAAGGACACATAAGGACTTTAGAGATGGTTGTGCGTGAAAATCCCAGTAGATCAGCAGTTTCTGAAATACTCAGACCAGCCCTTCTGGCACCAACAACCATGCCACGTTCAAAGTCACTCAAATCACCTTTCTTCCCCATACTGATGCTCGGTTTGAACTGCAGGAGATTGTCTTGACCATGTCTGCATGCCTAAATGCACTGAGTTGCCGCCATGTGATTGGCTGATTAGAAATTAAGTGTTAACGAGCAGTTGGACAGGTGTACCTAATAAAGTGGCCGGTGAGTGTATATATATATATAGTCATTGTTGTTCTTGTTTGTTTGTTTGTTTTTTTTGGGACCAGAGAAAAATGAGACACAACATCTTTTCCGAGGTGAAGTTTGGCGTAACCTCCCATAACTTATAAAATAGACCTCATCCCTTTAAAGTGAACTCTAGACCTGCAATAATTAATGTACTTATAATTTAGTCAGGGAGGTAATGGTGGTTTCGTAACAGACAGTCTGAAGTAGGTTGACACAGACCTGAGCAACTTGAACACCATGTTACACCATTAACCTCCATCAGTGGCTTTTGCCCTCGCTGCACATTATGTGGGGCCAATTACAGGCCTGAGTAGCAGCTCTATACTTTCTTCTGACTCCTTGCA